ATCTACTACCACCCTCTGTCTTCTATTGGACAGCCAGTTGTATATCCAGACAGCCAAAGTTCCCTGAATCCCATGTCTCCTTACTTTCTGAATGAGCCTACCATGTGGAACCTTATCGAATGCCTTGCTAAAATCCATATACACCACATCCACTGCTCCACCTTCATCAATGTGTTTTGTCACATCCTCAAAGAATTCAATAAGGCTTGTGAGGCATGACCTGCCCCTCACAAAGCCATGCTGGCTATTTCTAATCAAACTGTGCTTTTCCAAATAATCATAAATACTATCTCTCAGAATCCTCTCCAATAATTTGCCCACCACAGAAGTAAGACTGACTGGTCTGTAATTTTCAGGATTATCCCTATTCCCTTTCTTGAACAAGGGAATGGCATTTGCCACTCTCCAATCTTCTGGCACTACTCCAGTGGACAGTGAGGACACAAAGATCATTGGCAAAGGGGCAGCAATCTCTTCCCTCGCGTCCCGTAGAAACCTTGGGTATATCCCGTCTGGCCCAGGGGACTTATCTATCCTCATGTTTTTCAAAATTTCTAGCACATCCTCCTTCCTAACAACAACCTGTTTAAGCATAACTGCCTGTTTCATGCTGTCCTCACAAACGTCAAGGTCCCACTCACTGGTGAATATTGAATTCATTAAGGACCTCCCCTACCTCCTCTGACTCTGCACACAAGTTCCCTCCACTGTCCCTGATTGGCCCTACCCTCACTCTGGCCATCCTCTTGTTCCTCACATAAGTACAGAAAGCCTTGGGGTTTTCCTTGATCCTATCCGCCAAGGTTTTCTCATACCCCCTTCTAGCTCCCCTAAATCCATTCTTCAGTCATTCTTCCTGGCTACCTTGTAGATCTCTAGAGCCTAGAGGTTGTGTGAGGAGACAAAGTTCCTCATTGAAAATAGAGCTTGGGAACAGAGCAAGCTTTGGGCTTGATGGGTTGTAGAGAGCTGGCAGCCTTTAACTAGGCCCCTTTATTTTACTCTAAAATTGATGCATAGTACTCGATGATAAATTTGCACTGGGACAGCCTGAAATCAAATTCACAGGATCATGCCTTTCACCTAAATAAGGTGACAAATGAATTTAGAAAACATGGGGATAAAGTGAAGAATCCCTTTTACATGCACATTAGACACTTAGGGAGCCATTAGAACTGTCTGTTTGTCAACCTCACAGTAGCCAGCCAGATGCAAGTTTTCAACACTTTAAATTTTCTCAAAAGCAGCATGCCATGGAGTCAGGAGGAGGAGGAGGCATGATTCTACATGGAGAAGTTGTAATTGGCCATCACTCTGCTCACTCCTGTAACCTAGCCTGCAACTTTTGAACTACCCAAGACCTATTCTGGAGGAACCAGCAGCTCAACATTGGGCCAAAGTGAATACCTTATTGGGATTTTGGAATAACAGTGAGGAATATCAGGAGCTTCTTAGAGGAGGCACTGGGGAGCTCAACATCGGATTGAAAGTATTTGGGGGGCATGGGAGGGAGGGTGCGGAGACATGATAGATGGCTGAAAACATTGTAGTGGGTTGGGGCTGAATACACTTCGAGCCCCAGATGCTTTCTGAGCAGGATCCCACCAGCTGCCTGGGACTGCACTAACTAAGATCTCACAGAAGCCCTGAGTACTGTGCTCTGAAATTGGATGTATATTTTAAAAGAGACTCTCTCTGTCTCTATTCCATCTCCCTATCTCTATTTATTTCTGCCTGTCACTATTCCTCTCTTTTGTTCTCTCTCTATTATTTCCTTCTCCCTACATTCTGGTAGTAGTCATGTGGATCTTCTGCCTGACCTTTTTTGAGTTCAGTTGGATTTTTAGCATATGATAACTAACTGCATTACAGCATTCCTGAGCATAGGCCCAGCCTGGAATCAGACATCCAGCTTGCAAATTGCCTGGGCATTAATGGAATGAATCCCCTTCCTGTTGATGAATTCTGCAGCTTTGTGATCTGGCTCTCTCCATGCCATGTGTGCAAAATGTTGTGATCTGGTTCTCTCAGTGCCATACATGCACAGGCGATGGCATCCTGCCCCCTGGGGGAAGCCAGCTACATTCCTGAATCCAGTCACCCAGGCTGCTGCAATGATACTGTCACCGGGGGAATGGATGACCCAGTGTGATCTAGTACAGATGGCATGATGGCAAAGCGATTCCACATAGGCACCCGTTACTCTTTGGAAGGAGCCAGTCACATATGTTCTGAGCTTCACAGGCACTGGGAAAGGATGGCCTCCCACTCCTGTAAGCCTCAGGTCCCCACTCCAGCATCCAACAAAGTTCCTCCACAGTGTCCTGGGACATAGGGAGCCTGCTTCAACAATGCACCTCACTCATCCCCAGGAGATGGTTAGAAGAGTGAAAGACCCTGACCTTTGTGTGGGCCCAGCACATCCTGAAGGGCCCTGCATTAGTCTAGGGCCTAATCCTAACCTTATCACAACCTCTCCCTGAGCTGGGTACTCTTCAGCATCTGCAGGGATTTACAGCTGCTCTTGGGCTTACAGTCAAACCTGCTTCTCCTCCATAGGTAGCACTGTGTGGAGCTAGAGGAACACAGCAGGCCAGGCAGCATCAAAGGAACAGGAAAGCTGATGTTTCGGGTCTCGACCCTTCTTCAGAAATGGGGGAGGGGAAGGGGGCTCTAAAATAAATAGAGAGAGGGGGGAGCGGTGATAGAAGGTGGATTGTGGAGCGGATTGGTGGGGGAGAAGATGAACAGGTCAAGGAGGTGGAGATGAAGCTAGTAAAGGTGAGTATAGGTAGGAAGTGGGGGGGGCGTTGGTCAGTGAGGAGGGAGGAGCGGATAGGTGGGAGACAAGATGGACAGGTCAAGGAGGCAGGGGTGGTCTTGGGATGAGGCCGGGGGTGGGGAGATTTTGAAGCTAGTAAAGTCCACGTTGAGACCATTGGGTTGTAGGCTTCCAAGGCTGAATATGAGGTGCTGTTCCTCCAGTTTCCGGGTGGCATCGTTGTGGCTTCTCCTATATCTATTTTCACCTCCTTCATAAGGCAGTTACTCTGACCAGCACCCTTCCTCTGACAACAGCTGCAGGGACCTGTGTTAGAAACATAAGGAACAGAACAGGTTCTTAGCTCAGAGAAGGGTCAGCACTGGCATTCCCTGCAGATGACGGCTGCACACTCACCTCCACACAGTGTCTCCCAGACAGTGAGGGCCATGTATGAAGTCCTCATGGCTCTTTGGGATGGCTTTGAACTTGGTGAAGGTGCTGCACCAGCTGAGTGAGTGACACAAAACAGAATATTGGGATCATTCCATTTACTCAGAACCCTGTCCAAGGTCATCCGTAGGTGTTCGTTTTATAATAGAGTCAACATCTAGTTTCCCTGTGGCATGATCTACCACATTTCTCACAATAGCTCACATCATTCAGGCTTCTTTAACATTTCACTCATAGTATGCAAGAAGATCCAGGAGACAAGGACAATGTCTGTCTTTGTGATGATCTCGAGTGAAACTTTTCTTTGCCCACCCATGACTATATGATTTCATTACACTGGGAGGACAAGGTCAGAAATCACACAACTCCAGGCTATAGTCCAACAGATTTGTTTGAAAACATAAGCTTTCAGAGCCTCACTCTTTCTTGAGGTGTTAGTGGGTGAGGTAGTATCAGGTGCAGGATTTATAAGTAAAAGATCAAAGGGTCACACCACTGATGAGGATGTATTAAACAAACCTAAGATGCTGTTAAATCTTTAATCAGTTAGGAGATTTTAATTGATTAATATGTATATGTAAATCCCCACATTCCTTTCAAGTCACGGTCCTGAGAGAAATAATTATTTTATCAGTGAAAAGAAGGGGTGACATTTTAGGTCATACAATGCACGTTAGGTGTGAGACCTTGTTTAGAATCTGTTTGTGTTTTAGATTAGAGTCAGACTGATTTTATTTCTAAAGTAGGAATTTATAAAATGCCATATTGACTGATTCTCTGCAAATTGTGTGCTTTTTGAACAAAATAGAATGTATCTGCAAATACAAATTCACCCCATAGATATGCATGTGTATGTGCATGTGTGTGTGAGGAAGAGAGACAGTGAGAGTGTGTGTGTGTGTGTGTGTAAGGGAGAGAGAGAGACTGCGTGTGTGTGTGTGTGTGTGCGTGTGCGTGCACACACTTGAGAGACCGTGTGTCTGAGAGTGAATCTGCGTGAGTTTGAGTGCGTGTGTGTGTGATAGAGAGAGAGGGAGGGAGAGAAAGAGAAAGTGTGCGTATGTGTGTGTGTGGGAGAGAGAGAGAGGGAGAGAGAGACTGTGTGTGTGTGTGTGTGTG